TATATTTAATACTCATAAATTCATTGCTTTAAAATTAAAATAGATAATTCAACTTATCTGATGCGCTCGGCGGAGTTGTATACAAGATTGATCTTTAAGATACAGATATATACATATATAAATTAAGATAGTATTCAAAATTAATAATTAATATTTTTTAAAATAATCACTATGTGTAGCACAAAATTATCTATTTTGTTCTTTTTTAAATAAATATTTTACTAAAAATATAAAACTATGTAATTTGTATGCTATGTAAAAGATCTTTTTACCTCTATAAACTTTTATAAAATATTATATGATAAATAAATAAATACAATAATGAGAAATGTATCATTTTATCGCAGAAATAAGTGAGCAGTTGTAATACTCTAGTAATAACACTAAATTATATAGTTATTAATCATGCTTAACTCACGGTTGCTCCGCTGTCGCCGGATGCCTCCCCGGATCTCCTCCTCCACTCTTGGTCATCATGCTTTTCGCTCGTGACATTTACATAATAACACTCACTCGCGAAAACACGATTAATTATGATTATATGCGCATTGATCAATAGAACATTACGACCGCGCGGCACTTTACATGGCACTCTCGACGCGTTAATTGTATAGGATATATAATAATTGTATATTTTATAATATTATAAAACGAAAGAACAACGCAAAAATTATAATTTGTTTGGCGCTTGAAAATTGTGCAATTAGCTACTTTTGTCCTCATTTTAATCGCATGATTGATTAACTCACGCAATAAATAATACATAAGAATGTCATGTCTCTACGATGATTGTTTGTCGAAACAAATATTTTTCATGATTTATTCATTTGAAGCAGTAATAATACGTACATTGATTTCACGAGATTTTGTAACGTATTCAATATGTATCGCGTACTAAATACAATATTCAGATATGAAAGAAATAACGATGTATAAGAAATAGCGACGCGTTTTTGCTTACATACACGTACTTGGCGGTATTGTTCCGATAAACAAATATGTAAACAGCAATTTTCTGAACAAATCGTAATTTCAGCGTTGTTCTTTTCTGTTTTACAATATTATAAGATGTGTATTTTATACAATTAACGCGTCGTGGAAATGGCGTGCAAATAATACCTACTACTGATCAATGTGCACGCGATCGTAATTAATCGTATTTTTAGAGTTAATAAAATAAAATTTATTTTTAGGAAAATTTAAAAATAAATTTAAAAATAAATTTGAAATTGTAAAAAAATTTTGTGGAAACAATCTTAGCGAAACGTCTAAGGATGCAGGCAAAACACGTACAAAATCGCTGAAATTAACTCATTCGAATCCACTTCTGGCTTGGGCGTTCGCGGATTCTCATATCGAAATAAATTATAGAAAAATTAACTTAGATTCTAATTCTTTTTTTTTCACGGTTAAGAAACCCTCTAGTTAATTCATATATATTTTTATTTTTGTAATTTTATTATTTTGCATCATATTAGCAAATTTGTAATTTTTTTTCTAAGAAAATTTAATTAATTTTAAATTTAACGGGATTGCAATAATATTTTATATAATTCTGTATAATTACAAAAATAATTTTATTAATTACCTAACTTCATTAATTAAATAACTTGGATTTGTAAAATCATTTTTGTGAAAGTAATACTTTTAACATACATTTTAATGTTTTAATATTAAATTAATTCTAATTTTTTAATTAATTAATATTAACATTAAAAAAAACCGATTTATTAGTAAGATGACTTGAAAACAATTAATTCAAAACTTTCGTTTACGAACCAATTAAATATTCCTTTTAAATGTTCTTGAAAATTGTGGTAACTAAAATCTAACGAAATTTCCATGTATATATTGTCTTGAAGTGCCTTTTCTCTATTCTACTAACTACATTCTTTGCATCTATATAGGTCAATAAAAAGGGACTATAAAGGAGAGTTCGTAAAAATATTTTCTGATTTATCCACGTAGAGATGCCTTTGTTAAAAGGGGTATGCATTGGACAAACGAGGCAAGAATCGAGAATTGAAACGATACACACACACACACACACACACACACACACATATACATACATACAAACATATATACTTTCTCTCCTTCTCTCTCTTTCTATTTCTTTTATTATATGATCGGAAAATATTAAGTCGCTTGAATAGCAGTAAAGCCAAATCTCCGCGTGGGTGCAGATAAAAAAACTCGATAAAAAGTGCAATTTACATATACGGCGACGATAACAATAACGCGAGTATGTTTGATTATGCGCTCATTCTGAGCAGTACGTAAACGTAATAACGCGCAGTTGCTTAATTCAATATACAAAACAGACAATTGCTTCTAATCATTGATGAAAAGCTATTACTTATGCTCTAATTACATAAGAACTGAATGCTATATCGGTGACAAGAAAGAATAAAGAATTTGATTGGTCGAACATCACAAATGCGTCATGATTGAAATAATAAAAATAGGCCTATTATTACACACAATGGCTACATAATTCAGTTAAAAATAGAAATTTTAATTGATATGTGTGTGTATATTACTTTTCTTATATTTAAGTTTTATAACTTTCTTAAGAAACGATTTTTTATATTTGTTGCATGCATTATGTGATATATTTTGTTATAAAAATATTTAACGATGAGATAAGATGGCATTTAAATTTTTATATTTTAAATTTAAAATATTGTTTTGGTTTGTAATTGCTTTATCTGATTGTAATAGTGCAGAAATTAATACATATCTTAAATTATAATTCAAGTAAACAGCTGTTTTGTACTTAAAATAACCGTGATCGACGCTATTGATAATCGTTATGATCAATGCGTTATAATAATAACGTCCATTGAAAAGATTTTCATGGTACAATGATCTTTGCGTCAATTAATTGTTTTAATGTAATAATAATCGTCATTATCATGATTGGAGAATTGTAATATTAATTATCATAGTAGCCACTGTAATATCGTAACGGTCTCAGTGACAACTTTTGTAGTTCACAAATTTAATAACTACGATATGTAATACATGTTTAAAGTATACGTCGAGGTAATAAAAAATAATATAATGCAATATTGTGTAATATATAATTATTGAGGCAACTGAAATATAATAAATACAAAGTAGAATTGTTAAAATAGGTAATAATAACAATTTTTCTCGTAATATTGCGTATAAACTGCGTCATGCTTTACAAATAAATTTGGACATAACTGTTTTTGCAATATCAAATAAAAGCATTATTGTTTTCCAAAAAATAGAGAAATAAATAATACATACAACGAAAAAACGAGGCCAAAGTACAATAAAATGCACACACATACATTTGTGGTAAAAACATATTATCTTTAGATTTGTAAAAATATTCAAATAAAATCTGCAGCTATTATATAAATTAAAAAAGAAAATAGAAAAGAAGTTAATCATCTACCGAGGAAAATATTTTAATTGAAAGAGTTAACTTAAAGATAGTATCCTTTTTTTAATATCTTTAAATTTCTTGATTATATTTTTATATTTTATTTTATTTCGGATTTTAATTCATAGCTCGATTTTGCGAATGAGAAATGAAAAAAAGGAAAGAAAAGAAAAAAGGGCAAGGAATAATCTTTTATTAGTACGATACATTCGCAAGAATAATAATCGGATTCATATTGTAAATACGGAATATGTATCATTTTCTGGAATATAAGATATCCGAGAAATCGGAAATCCCAATGAATTCTCGATGAACATTATGAATATTCAGCTTTAATTGTGATCGATATAAGATTGTCGCTTATAGTTGGGAACAACCAGGAAATCTTTTAGAATCGTAAAAAATTGAGTACACTACGTGCATAATGCGACCATAAAATGAAAAAAGATAAAGCTCAGACAAGTTCACAAGGAAAACTTTCTGTCTGTTGTTTATGCTGATTATGCTGATTTCATTACAGTTAGTCGTGAAACAAACGCGGGATATAAAGCAAAACTTACATTCTTCAATCTTGTTCAAGATTGAGATGAAAAAGAGCATGGTCTTACTTTGCGTCTTTCTGTGTGTCATTTGCATTTTATTGTGTGTGTAACATAACTAACACACTTGGCAGTGTGGTGATTTAATTATAGATAAGAAAAAACTTAAGAAGAGAGTTTAAAGTTTCTAAAATTATAACTCAGATAGAATCTATTCAAATTTTTTTAAATCTTTATTTTATCATAAATTTTCCTATTCAAAAAATAGAAAATACGAATTTTGTTTTTATATCTTTGAAATATTCTAGTCTATTTATTAATCAAGATTGTAAATAAAATCAGCACGCATATTTTAGTTTTTAAATTGCATGACATGCACTTAAAACGGTATTGCTGCAACTTATTAATTTAATTTATATCTATATTTGTATTAGTTTATTTAGTTACTTGGCTCTGGTTGCACATATCTGTTCATATTGACTAGAGAGAGAGATGCACTTTTGTTTTATTTTTCTGTAGAACATTTGTCTGTGTTATAAAATGGTTATTTTAACGTTGCATGAAAAACATTTAATGAGAGATATTTGATTAAAAAGTTGAGAAATATTCGAGAAAATCTCGTTGGCACGTGTTAAAAAGCTCTCATACGTACAAATGCAATTTTTAATATCGAGTTTTTTATTTAGTCCCGGTTATTCAGGATTCTAATTAAGGTTAATAAGTTGAACCAAATATGAATACTTCGTATTATAGGATTCCATATTACGAGCGTTGGGATGCATTTATAATAGCGGTATAGATTTTCGATGCTTTTGCAAATCAATAAAATCAGATTGTGAATAAACGCAAAATGCGATTAAAAAATTACAGATCCATTATAATTAATAGCAACTAAAATTATACAAAATTATACAAAAAAATAAGGCTTAAACCTTGCAAAAATTGTTTTAAAAGAATGCAATTTTTTGTATATGTTACTTATCAATTACTATAATGTTTCAAAAAATAGAGTTTATAATGATAAAATATGTTTTATTTTTGTTGCTTCTTTTATAGAAAAAAATATACACTTTTTATATTATTTTTAATTTACGCGATCGTAAGAATTCCTGATAAAATAATGCTCAAGTTATAATTATTGGTGCATAGAGTCAGATTGTGTGATAAATTATATTTTCACCCATAGAGATAATGCAGCTCAGTCATATTTGTGGTTTGGACAGCTTTTCATGCGGGCGTTTCGTCGACAGGACTCCGCAATTTAACACAATCACCGATTTTATTGGCTTTCCAGTCTTCGTACCGAATTCCTCGATCTATTTAATCATGGTAGATATAAACCACTGCTATGCGGTCGAATTTAAACGCGCGGACGGTAATAAAATCTTTTGTAAAGCGATATCGTACGATACGCGCGAAAGTTTTTTAATGCACGGAAAAAAAGAGGAGAGAATATATACTATATTTAAAATATTTCTAGAATAATCTTTTTCCCCCAATTTTTATGTTGTAAAAATACGACAAATTATATTTGCATTATATACAAATAGAAGACAATGAAATATAAAAAAGCATTATATATATATGCGTGTATTGCTTTTTTTAAAATATTCTCGAGATTTGCTGCTATAAAATATATGAATTATTTATATATATAATTACATTAAATGTGATTTAACATAATTTAGTTTGATATAATAATTTTATAACGCAAAATCTATAAACTGCGACTAACATTTGTACTTCAGAATTTACTAGCTACCCGTTAGATGGCGACATGTATTCCATTGATGTTAATCGATCGAATTAAATATATATTTTTCAATTTAATGTGTATTAAAGATAAAATAATAAATTAAATTTTAATAAAATTGATAAATAAAGCACAAAAAAAAATAAAACATTATATGTGAGAAAAAATAAGACATTTAATTATAATATAGAAAAGAGATATTATTTGTTTCTACGACAGTTTTATTTGTATAATACGGTTATATGATAAATAAAATGGTTTCTTTACGATTTTGTCAGCAACTCGAGATGTACTTAAAACAACAATGCTGGCTGACGACGTTGCATTATTGCATTAGTAACATTGTGTATTCGAGCAAAGCTCTGGATTACCAACAAAGGAAATGTCCAGTATTACCTTGTAAATATTTCTCAGTCCGCTTATTATCCGGCCGAAAACGGCTCGATCTCCATCCATGGTTTTCAAGCACTTAAACGTAAGATTAAACTTAGAGTCGTTCCTGCCATCATCATTATTACACATGGACAATACGCCAGGTTCTGCATGACGTAGATTGGAATTTTCCTTATCGAATGAGTCTCCATATATAGAGATACCGCCGGTACCGTCAAACTTTGTCACATCTCCTCCCTGGCACCAGTAGCCAGAGACAATACGATGAAATGGAGTGTGCCTATGAATTATACATTTTATACGAATTGTTTTAAAAGCTTTGATCTTAATTTTATTAACGGATTTTTAAATAAGTTTTAGATATGCTTTACGGAAAATTGCGAGTACAATCATGTCGCAAGATTTTAATATCAAAAATTCTCTCTCTTTCTCTTACATGATATGTTAATAATTTACATACTTATATGAGAATCCATTTATTCCACGGCAAAAAGCTGCAAAGTTCTCGCATGTACGTGGTACAATACCGTCGTAGAGCTCAAACACTATACGTCCTAAATTCTGATTTTCTTCTTTAAGTCCAATATCGAAGAAACATCTCGTTTGACTTTTCTCGGCTAATTGCCTTCGTATATCTGATACAACGGACAGTCTCTCAATCACTGAAACATATCTGTGTTACATCAAAAATTTTATGACGTATTTATGAAAATATAACCTGTATTTGCTTCACGTTACACGCACGTTTGATTGCAAAATGAAAACTTACAAGTAAAATTTTAAGATAAAATTAAAGCAAAATAAAACATTATATGTGAGAAAAAATAAGACATTTAATTATAATATAGAAAAGAGATATTATTTGTTTCTACGACAGTTTTATTTGTATAATACGGTTATATGATAAATAAAATGGTTTCTTTACGATTTTGTCAGCAACTCGAGATGTACTTAAAACAACAATGCTGGCTGACGACGTTGCATTATTGCATTAGTAACATTGTGTATTCGAGCAAAGCTCTGGATTACCAACAAAGGAAATGTCCAGTATTACCTTGTAAATATTTCTCAGTCCGCTTATTATCCGGCCGAAAACGGCTCGATCTCCATCCATGGTTTTCAAGCACTTAAACGTAAGATTAAACTTAGAGTCGTTCCTGCCATCATCATTATTACACATGGACAATACGCCAGGTTCTGCATGACGTAGATTGGAATTTTCCTTATCGAATGAGTCTCCATATATAGAGATACCGCCGGTACCGTCAAACTTTGTCACATCTCCTCCCTGGCACCAGTAGCCAGAGACAATACGATGAAATGGAGTGTGCCTATGAATTATACATTTTATACGAATTGTTTTAAAAGCTTTGATCTTAATTTTATTAACGGATTTTTAAATAAGTTTTAGATATGCTTTACGGAAAATTGCGAGTACAATCATGTCGCAAGATTTTAATATCAAAAATTCTCTCTCTTTCTCTTACATGATATGTTAATAATTTACATACTTATATGAGAATCCATTTATTCCACGGCAAAAAGCTGCAAAGTTCTCGCATGTACGTGGTACAATACCGTCGTAGAGCTCAAACACTATACGTCCTAAATTCTGATTTTCTTCTTTAAGTCCAATATCGAAGAAACATCTCGTTTGACTTTTCTCGGCTAATTGCCTTCGTATATCTGATACAACGGACAGTCTCTCAATCACTGAAACATATCTGTGTTACATCAAAAATTTTATGACGTATTTATGAAAATATAACCTGTATTTGCTTCACGTTACACGCACGTTTGATTGCAAAATGAAAACTTACAAGTAAAATTTTAAGATAAAATTAAAGCAAAATTTTTTGTTTTATGTCGGGATATATGAATTAAATAACCTTGCATGGTGCTCTACTGCCTCATGTATCTTTTTCCAGGCTTTCAAAAACGCACGAGTAGGATATTGACTTTCCGCTTGACGAATTTTCTTCAGCATAATTCTGTTTTCCCGCATAATTACATTGTTTTTACGATCTTGATCTCCAAATTTCGACTTATATTTGATATCTGGTGCCCAACAATCCACGTGTCCCTAAAAATGGAGAATAAAAATTCAATATTGGCATGTTTTATTTGTATATATTATGATTGGATTAAAGATAAGGAAATATGTACACAAAATTAAACAATCTAAAATATATAACTATATATATACATATATAGACAGATATATATAATGTATATAAAATTGTGCTAGTTTTAATGCTGTAAGCGATATGGCGATACTAACCCCTAATCGATGAATTATGTTTATCTTTTTCAAAAGCTTTATATTCTCTTTATCGATTTCTTTAATTCGTACGGCATCTTGTTGTAGATCAAACGCTTTCAAATAGGCAGATGCATTGAAATGCGGAGGCTTGTCATCGACCTTTGATGAAACGTGCACAGAGATTTTTTTTTTATATGTGGGTCGAGATTTTGTACACGTTTTATTATTCATGATTGCATAACATTTGCATGATGTTTACTTTTACGTTATATAGATCTCGAAAAATGTTTTTGCTAAGTTGATACTATTATCATATTTTTACGTTAATTTTGTCCTTGGCATCTTCTCTACTAGCGGATTTATAACTAATTTTGCAAAAATTTTTATTTATGTATGACATTACGTGAATTGATGCAATGTTCAGATAATAATTACTATTATTATATGTATATTCGGAGTGAATTTAATAGAGTGAGTTAATGATGTACTCGACAACATGCTTTTGATAAATAAGCATAATAATACTTATTATATACTAAATTTATATGCAAAAAACAAAGGTATTAATGAGCTTATCTAATTGTGAGCAATAATTAATTTACTAATTACATGTCCGTTCATTTCTTTTGACAACTTCAACATCCAATTAGCATTAATTATATTAGCTGATAATTAATGTAATGAGATAAATCAAATTATTTTCTTTATTATCGTCATTTTTATTTTTCAATAACAACTTGTATATTTTTTTATACAATAAAATACATAAAAGTACTTTTATGATATAAAATGATTATTACAAGAAAGAATAAAAGCCGGAATTGACGTAGAAATGATGTAAAAAATATTTATCTCATATTTTGCAACAGTTCGTAAAAAAAAAAGATTATTATTAATTCTTAGTAAAAATATGAAATATAGAATTGTTGAAAATTTATCTAAAAAAGTATATTAGATATTGATTGATAAATTAATACTGTTTATTGATAAGTTTTTTTACACATATATTACATTACCCACAATCTTTTAATACTTTTTTAAATCTGTCTGCTTGTATTAATATAATCGCAAGAGTCAGAATGGATTCAAAGTACTAAAAGAAATAAATATTAATTTTTAAATATTTATCAATAACAGATATTTATAAATAATATAGTAATATATAATTAATTATTTGATACTAATTACGCACCCCATAAAGGAATTTATAACCAAAACGAAAAAGTCTAAGCCCGCAAAACCTGAGTGGCGCTTGCATTATTTGCAATAAAAATTGTAAGATCTGCATTAAAACAATAGATTATATGTATTGTTAGTTTTCTGTTTGTATAAAAACTTAAATCAAGATTTGTTGCAATAATTGTTTTTAAATTTATATTGAAGCTTACATTTTCACGTACTTCCACATCGCAAGTAAAATACGATGTTTTACTTATCATGCCGCCTGTTGCGTTTGCCTAAAATTGGGATAAAATTGACATTATTTTTAATATTATGTGAAATTTAACATCAATTTAAAGTAATCAAGTAGCATTTAAAAACACTTGTTTAAAAAGAATTAAAATAGAATTGTTTAAAAAAATTAAAAACATATTTTGAATTTGAATGTAGAATCAATACCTTGGCGCTAACTCTCTCGCATATATAATTGATGAGGAGTAATCTGAAGATGTACCAAGCCAGCCAAAATATGATTATGGTGACAATTAAAATTCTTTTACTGGTGATATAATTTCTGACGAATATCGCGGTGAAAAGTTCACGGAAAAATTCCGCTATAAAACCGAAATAGCATACCATCTTGAAAGTCATTTCTATTTCGAATATTGAGTTTACCTCGCGAGATATTTTATGCAATTCCAGGTGAAGATGTCTGCGTATAAACGCGATATTAAATCTCACTGTGTAATCTCGTGTTTCGCGATAATATAATAATAGTTAAATTTAAATAGACATTCACATTACAATCCATGTCATATATTCACTTCTTGGCGCATTCGAAAAATTGCGCTCTTGCGAATGCGATACGGAATTTTCCCAAGCTCTCTTTATTCCGCGTACATTCTCTATTGTCAGTTTTTGTAGATGCTTGTTAACTTGATCAAACTTTAATCCTATGTATCTAAATATAGAAGAAATTAATGAAAAATGAGAATTATTTTAAAATATATGCAAATATATTATAATTAAATAATCTTTAAAAGTTTTTCAGGAAGGCTTAGTTTCTTTTAATTTGCACAAATTTTGCAAACTTATGCGTGGATTACTAGATTAATTTCTATGTGTGATAGTTTTTATATGCATAAAAAACTAACCCAAGAATACTTGCAAAAGTCAAGTCGTTAATGATACTGATATGAGTACAATGGTTTAGCATAAATGATATATAGATGGATTTTAAAGGATTGTATGTCATATCTTGCCATCGTATATAATCGCAATAATTTAGTAATAAGGCTATTGCAGACCATCCCAAAACGATCCACACTATTTTTTTACTTAATTTCTGGTAATCCATTGGTGTTTCGAATTTTTCTAGTGTGTTATCCACAAGAGCAAGTTTCTTCAGACAGTTCCTAAATTTCTTAAAACAAAGAATAGGCAGTAAATAAATAGTCATTATGTAAAAACACGACACGCTTATATCTAACTATATTAAAAAATTGTGACAGAATATTATAAATATTTCGTTCATATAATAATATATACATCAAAGTAAATTAATGGGAAAATAATTTTGCTGAATATATCGCGAGAAATACATATGATAATACTTTACGCATCAATATGCAAAATAATTATCTTTGTGTTATATAAATTTTTTTATTAAATAATATTTAATTATATAATAATAATAAATATAATAAGTTTTAAAAATTTTATAACTATTTAATATACAAATAAGCTCTATCCCCGAATTCAATCGAGATCATACGAGTATATTGTTGATGTGTATGTGCGAATAGCTGAGATTTTTTTCCTACCTTGTCATGGTACACTCCAAGAAGCATTGACAGTAGAACTATAAAAATGTTCAGCGAAACGTAAATTCTGTAATCGGCGGAATAATCAGGAATGTAAGGCATCCCTTTATCTATAACGAAGAAACAGAAAGTCAACCACAATAGAAGGATATAGAGAAAACTGAACCAAAATCTTGGGTGCCCTGTAGGAAACTCCACAATTCTTAAACCGCACACATAACTCATTATCAGGAGTGGTGATAAAAGGGATCGAATGCTCTTTGCCATGGTAGATTGGAAACTACACTTTTTATGTGGACGACGACGATGATGGGTCTCCGTAATTGTAATTGCTGCACTTTCGCGTATTGAAATAATCGATCTACTGAATTTTGCACACCATGAATTAGCGAAACACCAAACAAATAAATTTATAATGCAAGACAAATAAGAGTTAATGACAAAACATCTATTTTCTTGATATTGCTACTTTCTATTTACTCTATGTAACGATATAGAAAGTGTGAAAATCTAATAGAATTTATAAAATTGCTTTTATAAAAGATATACTTATTGGGAAAATGAATAGGAAAGAATAATAACACCATATAAAGATTGGAAATATTGAAAAAAATTGTTTTATATATTACACTCTGGATATTATTTATCAACACTCTTTAAATTTATTTATATAATGTATTATTACAATGTATTAATCGTCATTTCTTTAAAATGTTTGTTTATTTATGTATCCCTGTATTAATAAAACTACAACGGTCGTAATCGATGAGCTGAACTGAAAGATATTAATTCCGGTTTTTAAATAATTTCATTGTTTGTGGTAGATAATTATATGACATTTTGTAACGTACTCCATAAAGAAATGAGTAGCCAAATTTGAAAAGTCCAATTCCGTAGAATCCGATTGGCGCTCGAGTTATTTGCAATAGAAGCTGTGATATCTATATTAATAAAACTTATTAATAAACTGCTTAATGGACATATTTATAATTTTTTATTTTTTCTTAATTTTAAATTATGGTTTGTTTTAATAACTATGAATAAGATAATATTAAGACTTACATTTTCACGAACTTCAACATCATAAGTAGAGTACGGTATTTTATCTATTAAATATTTTGTTGCATTTGCCTGAAATTGGGATACGCGAAATAAAATTTGAATAATTCTTTTATAATTCAGAAAAGTCATGTAAACTTTAATATTCTTTAATAGTTCGATTATTGAAGGAAAATTCTAATTAAATACATTTTGAGCCTGAGTGCAGTATCAATACCTTGGCGCTGATTGTTTCGCATACATAATTAAAAAAGAAGATTTTCAAAACGTTAATACAAAGCCAGATTATCGTCATAATAATGTATAGTATTTTATTAGATTTGATATGATTGTTAATAAGTATCACGCTGAAGAGTTCACGCAAGTCGAGCGCTAACCAACAAAAATTACACCCCATTTTCAAAGTCATCTGTGTTCCAAATATCGAGTCTATCTCACAAGATATTTTACGTAACTCCAAATGAAGATGTCTGTCATGAATGCAATATTAAATTTTACTACTCAAGATAAATATGATTGATAGAATTTATATAAGCTCTTTTACATTACGATCCATGTCATCCATTCGTTGCTTGAAGTTTGTGAAGATCTATGTTGATGCATGGAATTTCCCCAAGCTCGCTTTATTCCTCGTTTGTTAGCTCTTATTAAATTCAAAAGATGTTGGTTAAGTTGATCAAACTTTAATCCTATATATCTAAAAATGTCAGAGAAAATTAATGAGTGTAAAGTAATAAGTACATGTAAATTTATTGCCATATCTTGTGTCATAATATGTCGACATCTTTAAAAATTTCGAAAAAGCTTATATTTATATGCATTATAATATAATTTTATAAATTTATACATATGATTATGTTAGAATAATTTCCGTATACGTTAAAAAATGTACTAACCCAAGAATACTTGCAACAATTAAATCGTTGATCATGTTAATATAATTGCAATAATTTCGTATAAAAAGAATGTACATAGCTGTTGAAATATCATAGTTGTATTCATTTTTCATCCAATATGCCGGTCCACAGTTCATTAACATGATCATTAGGAACCATACTAAGACGAGACACATTGTCTTTTTGTGTAGTTTGTGATAATCTGTTATTGTTCCGACATTCAGCAATGTATTATCGACAATGTCGAGCTTCTTCAAACAATTTCTAAATTTCTGCCATAAAGACAGTGCGGTGGACAATTAACAATGTAGTTAATAGCTGTAGCTTTTTCGAAGATGAATTGAAGAATGTAAATTAATTTAATGTTTTCTTATACTCTATATGCAATAAATTATTATTAAATATATCAAGAGAAGAAATTTTTATCAATTATTTGTGTCGCATTACATATGGAATTATATGTGGAATATTACTTGTCTTTATGGTAACTTCTTTCGCTAAACAGAAAAAATATTGCTTAAAATTTTTGTAGCTACTTTAGATATCAGGAAAATATTCAAATACACAAACAAAATTGTTTATTATTAGTAAGCAAATAATTAACAATTTTTTATTATACATACCTTATCATGATATATTCCAAACACAACTGATAATAATGTTAACAAAATGTCTAACCAATAGCATATAAGGTAGCATAATTCAGTAGTATAATGTATATTAATAAAGTAAGATATTACTGTAGAATTTAGGAAATAATAAATTGACCAAAATAGTATCATATACGAGAGACTAAACCATACTCTTGGGTGACCTACAGGAAATTCAAAAATTTTTAAACCAGACACATAACTGATTATTAAAAGCGGTGTTAAAACTGTTTGAATGCTTTTAGTCATTGTGTAGACCGTTTTGATTCTAAACTACATTTCATTTGTCGACTGAATAGTTGCGTTAGCTTTATCGAATGGTCATAATAGCGTCTTTTCATAATTTCAATTATTGAACTCATGGTTATTGAAATAATCGATCTGTTGAAGTTTATATACCGCGATATATTTAAACAGTTTGGATAATGAATGACATTTGGTTTTTATATAAAACATATAAAAAAAGATAATTATAAACGTAGTCATTACATGTTCATAACAGAAATATGACTATTGTTCTTCATACACTTTTTTATATTTTGTCTCGAAAGTTTTACAATGTGAAAACACGACACGCTTACATTTAATTATATTAAAGAATTGTGACAGAATATAAATAAACATTTGGTTCAAGTAATAATTGAATTAAATGCATTAGAATATTAGAGTAAGCTAGTGGAAAAATAATTTTGCAGAATATATCGCGAGAAATACATATGTAAATACTTTAGAATGCATCAATATGTAAAATAATTTTCTTTGCGTTATAAATCTTTTGATTAAAATTGATATTATAAGAATCTTTGTAAGTTTTAAAGATTTTATTATTACTTGTTATAGTGAATACAATAAACGTGTATAAAAATATTGTAGATAACTTGCTCAATGTCATCATTTCGGCTTGCGAAACATCGGATTTTCACACAAATTATTAATATGGCTACTATAAACCATTCTAAAATAAGCCATATTGTTCATATATACAATTTGTGATCTGTTATTGTTTCCAATTTTTCCAATGTATCGTTCACAATAGTGAGATTTTTTATACAATTTCTAAATTCCTTAAATATTATAAAAAAAGTTATGTTCTATTTTATATAAAATCAATGTTTCAAACATTCAAGCTGCACTCATATTTTTTTACGTTAAATCTCTTACCTTGTCATAGTACATCCCAACGATAATTGACATTAACGCTATAAACATGTTTACTCCAAGCCAAATATAGTGTAGAATGAGGTAATAAATTGTATAAGGTATTACTTGATATATAAAGACAAAATTATGTAATGACCACAATAACAGCATGTACAGAAGACGGAACCATTGTCTCAGGATACATGCGGGAAACTCGATCACTCTTAAACCGCACACATAACTGATTATTAACAATGGTAATGAAATTTTTCGAATGCTCATAACGTATGCAACTCCGAACTGCACTTTCTTTGCTAACAATTGCGCTAAAACGTAATGATAGTGAATCTTCGTAATTTTACTCATTACATTTATGTGTAAAGAAATAGTCGATATATTGAATTTTACACACTGCAAGTTATAGATATAGAGATGATTGGATATATTATATGTTTCTAAACAAAGTACGTACGTTTAGAATGCAAACACCGATGTTATCTTTGGCACTTTAACTTTTTATTTTTCTACTTATATGATTATACGATATTATTATACGTGATTAAAAGCATCAAATAATGAGATACAAAAATATTGTAATTTATTATTGATTTTAATCAGTATTAACTTACAATATAATAATAAAATAATGCGATTGCAAGAAAGAGAGAGAGAGAGAGGGGTGGGGGGGAGAGTATTTGAGTCATTTGCAATAGAAATTGTAATATCTATATTAATAGACCATTTAATATAAATATTTCTTGGTTTCTGTATTTATTGGAACTTAAAAATGAATATTTATTTTGGTAATGGTCAATAAATTTATTCTAAGACTTACATTTTCACGAATTTCGACATCATAAGTGAAGTATGGCATCCTATTTATTAAGTTTCCTGTTGCATTTGCCTAAAGTTAAAATACTGATTATAAAATTAAAACGTTGCTTTTAATTTAGTCATATAAATAATAATCTCTTAAATATTAAATTATTTTAAAGAAAATTCTATGTAGTTTTTCGAGAACACAGATTTAATACCTTTGCGCTGACTGTCTCGCACATATAATTATAGAAGAAGAGAATAAAAATATCCAAAGAAATTAAAAATACTGTGAAAATATAGTTAAATAAATGTAGTGTTTCATCCTAGTCGAAAAAATCGTAAGTCATTATGAATATGTCCTGCAAGTCGAGCACTAAACAAAGTAAATAGAATCCCATTTTGGAAGTCATCTGTATTCCAAATATCGAATTTATCTCATAAGATATTCTCCGTAACTCTAAATGGAGATGTCTGTATACAAACGCAATATTAAATTTTACTATGTAAGATAATCACGATTGATAAAATTTACATAAACTTTCTTACATTAAAATCCATATCGTATATTTGATACTTGGAACTTTTGGAAACCTATGTTGATGCGAACGTAACACTGGATTTTGCGAAGCCCATTTAATTTCGCATTTGTTATCTCTCGATAAATTGAGAAGATATCCATTGACTTGATCAAATTTTAATCTTATGTATCTGAATATAAAAGAAAATTATGCATTGTTTATATATCATATGCAGCGGCATTTTGAAACATCCTGAATTAGAAAGCTATTTTAATAATAATATAGTCTCATGAATTATATATATGAATTGATATACACTAAGTAAGTCTGTCAGAGTAATTTGCGTACATGTGTAAAAGGATATACTAACCCAAGAATACTTGCAATAATCAGATCGTTGATAAAGTTAATAAAGAAGCAATAATTCCTTATAAAAATAATATACATAGCCATTATATTGCTGACATTAAATGAGACGTTCATTAATAGTGCTATTCCAGTGTTCAAGAATATAACTATTATGAACCATCCTAAGACGAGACACACTGATTTTTTATGAAGCTTATGGTAATTTGTCGTTATTCCGACTTTCAACAGTGTGTCATCAACAAGGTCGACCTTCTTCAAACAATTACTAAATTTCTAACAGAAAAAGACAGTTCAGGAAGTGGACAAAATTAATGCTATATCGAAAATTTGAAGATCTTATATATCTATAATAATAATTTATAATTTAAATTGTATTATGTGGAATATTGTTTTTATGACGGTTTGTTTCATTAAACAGAGATAATGTATATAGAGTATTATAAATTAAAACTCTTATAACTATTTTAAATACTAAAGCTCTATTTCTCTTTATTAAAATATACAATTGAAATCAATTATTATTATATGTAATGAAAATATATATCAAAATTTTCTTACCTTATTATGGTACATCCCAGACACAACTGCCAATAATGTTATAAGAATCGTTTGCCATAAAAAAATAAGAAATTCAATATATGTACCGACTGTAAAAGATATTACTGCAAATTTTAAGAAGAAAAAGTAAATTAACCAAAGTAACAGCATGTACGAAACACTGAACCATGGTTTTAAAGGACCAATTATAGGAAGCTCAATATTCCATAAACTTAAACCAAACACATAACTGATTATTAAGAGCGGCGATAAAACTTCTCGAATGCTCTTCATCGCGGCACCGTCTCGATTGCGAATTGCACTTTTTTACTGTTAAGCTGAAACGTAATGATAGCGGATCTTTGTAATATCAATTGCAACACTTATGCATAATAGAATAATCAATATATTGAATTTCACAGACCGTGAATTATTGAAAAAAGGCTGGTTGAACATATCAAGTGACACGAAATAATGTTTATAACGCAAACATTGATGTTGTCTTTTTTGCAGTTTTATTCCTTATTTTTAAACTTGTACAATAATGCGATGCTAATATGCGTGATTAAAAACACCATCAAATAACAAATATAATAATGTCGATTTTAATTGATATTATTTGATAATATATAATAATAGAATAATGTAAATGCAAAAGAGAAAAAAGAGAGAAAAAGAGAGAGAAAGAGAGAGAGAGAGAGAGAGGGAGAGAGAGAGATTTAATACGACGATAAAAAATAATATTTTTTCCTTTACATTCTGAATATAATTTGTTGATGTTTATTTAAGTTATTTATAAGTTGCTCGTCATTTATATTTTGTCTTTTTTATATATATAAAGATGTCTGCTTATTTATATACGCCTGTACCAATAAAACTAAAACGGTTGTAATAGATGAGCTAAACTGAAAGACATTAATTCCTTTTTTTTGGATAATTATTATGGATTTAATTGTTTAATAGATAATTATGTGAGATATGTATATGTATATATATATATATATATATATATATATATATATATATATATATATATATATATATATATATATATATATATATATATATATATATATATATATATATATATATACATATATGTATGTATGTATGTATGTATGTATGTATGTATATATTATACAAGTAGATATGTACCAACTCAAGTATAGTGGCAATAATCAAGTCGCTAATAAAGTTAACGTGAGAACAATGAATTAATGTAAAAGCCATACTGAAAACTGTTGTAATGTTATAATTATATTCATGTCTCAACCATGCAATCTCGACATAGGTCATTAGTTTTGCCATCACGGACCATCCTAAGGTAAGCCATACTATTTTCGCATGCAACTTCTGATAATCTGTCGTCGTTCCGAGTTGTTCCAGGGTATCATCAACAATAGCGATCTTCTTTAGACATTCTTTAAATTTCTGTCGCAAAAGGATATATAATTAAACTTTAATTTGAGAAAGCTTGACAACTTTATATCTAAAAGTATACTATTTCTTAATTTCAAAAGTAATAATTTTATTATATATAGATATATAGCAAAAAGAAAATTGCGAATAATTTATGCTTATATATATCAAGATGTAGAGAATTTTTGTATCGTTACGATAGTTTTTTTTTTTACTAAGTAAATATTGTACAGCATAGCAAATTACATTATTAAACATCCAAGCTATCCAAATACAATCAAAATTATTTATTATTAATTTATATTATTAATAAATAATTATTTTTTATTAATATATACATAAGTACGAATATTTTCCTACCTTATTATAACGCACTCCGAAGATAACTGATATTAACGAAATAAAAATATTCAGGCAAAAGAAAATTATATAATCGACATTATAGTT